GTGTTACCAGTGGTTCATACTTGAACATGGCTAAATCAACATAAATTGCAATGTTGGTGTCAGTTTGTTAAGGAGATCCTGAAGTTCCCCTGGAACCTGCACAGGAAAATTTGAATCCAAGTGCTATATACCATTTGATTTGTTCTCCTACCCCTGCAGTATTGGTACCCCTACAACTATTGTATCCATTTATGTTGTTTATTATTGAGAAGTCCTTTGAAATTTCTAAAGAGAGACAGTCATCTGGTTTACCCTGAGTCAGTTAGATAGACAGCCAGTCCCTTGAATTCTGGGTTCATCATCCCAAGCGTAGTTCAAGTCAGCGAGAGTGGGGACCTAAGGTCTGGGAAAGGGTCACATTATTGGCAGTTCCTCTGGTGGCTGAGCATGGGAGCACACCCTATTTCTTTGGGTTTTATAACTGTTCTACAAAGTCTTCTCTTTGTACCAGAACTGCATCCCACACACGGAGGTTGTTTGCCAGATCTGGGGTTATTGTTTGTGTAAATAACTGCATGTTGAGAGGCAGAGAGATAGCTCCAAGGGCTGAAGTACGTGCTTGGCATACACAGAGCCCTGGGTTGGATTTCTGTCACCTCATGTCTTCTTGGGCACTGAATATACTCCCGATGGCCCCTCGAACTGCTGGAAGCCTCTACCCAATAAAGCAAAAACTATTACATGGTGGTGTGATTACTGGTGTTGAGATGAAAGGCAGATTTTCTCTAACTTTGGTGTAATGTCATTTATCCAACGCGTTTTCTTCCAGCATCCCCATCTCTCATGACAGGTCTGGCATTAGTGTTTCCACAGCATGTTCTAGCTGAGTTACTTGTGATCATTTTTTCGCAATTACACAACAAATCCTGTGCAGAGCCTGAGCCAGTGCTTAGACTATAAGTACAAACTGGAAAACCTCTGCCAGACCCAGCTTCATTACCTACCTTTTATACAACCATGCAGTGCCATTTCATTTGGTCTCTGTGTTTTATAACTTGAGTCTCCATCAAGCTCCTCAAGAAGATATGTAGATGAGGCTGACACCTAAGGATAGTAGATACACGGGACAGGAAGAGTGCTCCATAGCTAGAAGCCTGCCTCAGGGGCTAAGGGGAGGAGGCAGCTGGAATAGAGAAGGGATCACTAAGAAAATGATGGCTTGAGGAACCGGTCAGGATGGGAGATGTGTGCTGAAGGTATATATTGTACTAAACATGATATAAACTTCTCAGTATCTGCATTGCAAACCATAATGCCCAAAAGTAGAGAGAGAGTATGGGGAATCTTGTCTGCCATGGAGGCAGGGGGAGGGTGGGAAAGGGGGGATATACCAGGGATACTGGTGGTGGGGAATGTGCACAGGTGGAAGGATGGGTGTTTGATCATTGTATGATTATAACCCAAACATGAAAGCTTGCAACTGTCTCACAGTGATTCAATCAAATGAAAAAAAAGAAGACATGTAGAACACTGAAGAAATGCTCAGACAACTTACAATTGAATAACATAGCGGATCTCTTCCTACAGCTAAAAAAAAAAAGAACTCTACATTGGGGCCTGTCTAAGTTTCTTTTCCTGGGTGCAATGCTTCTTTTCCCTTCTGCCTTAATCAACACCAAGTGCTGTTGCAATTATTGTCACAGGCATTGCCATGCTAATTCTTTACCTCTTCTAAATCCCACCAGTTAGCAGTCTCATCTTTTTTTTTTTGTTTTGTTTTTGCTTTTTGGGTCACACCCAGTGATGCACAAGGGTTACTCCTGGCTCTGCACTCAGGAATTACTCCTGGCGGTGCTCAGGGGACCATATGGAATGCTGGGAATTGAACCTGGGTTGGCCGCATGCAAGGCAAATGTCCTACCCACTGTGCTATCGCTCTAGACCCTAACAATCTCATCTTTAGAGAACCCAACTAAACCTACTGAAGCAAACAACCAGTGCCTCATTTGAGCATTTCCTATGTTCTGTTTTAAGAAAGCAGAGAAAGGGGATGGATCATGGAAAGTTGTTCATCAGAAATGTCTTTTCAGTTGCAAAACTAGAATCCCATTATAGGGGTCAGGGATGGTCAGCAATTTGATTAATCTCTTGGCCTTTTTATTGCTATTTTTTTTATGTGAGCTGTGTTTGATAATCTTGAAAGCTTTCAGTTCTTGTTTTTTTTGGGGCACACCCAGCAGCACCCAGGGCTTACTCCGACCTCTATGCTCATGATCACTCCTGTAGGGTTTGGGGGACTTTATGAGGAGACAGGGATCAAACCTACATCATACGCGTGGTAGAAAAGTACCCCACCCACTTTACTATCTCTCTGGCCTTCTTTCCAATGTTCACAACTTCTATTCTTCTACCATTCTCTGGCCACCTCTCTTGCTCAGGCCTATTCATTAATAATGAGGTCGGTGGACAAGTTTCAAAGTTCTAACCACCTCTGACTTTAAAGATATGAACTTCCAGCTAGCCAGAAAATCTAGCTAGCTAGCCAGAATGACCATTCCTCCAGGGTCCAGGCTAGCCTAGATTTTCCTATATATGAATACGTAGTTAAAAGTATGAACTCAGAGCCTGGGAAAGCATTTGGAACTTTTTTTTTCTTTTTGGGTCACACTCGGCAGTGCTCAGTTAGGCTGGCTCTGCTCCTGGCTCTGCTCTCAGGAATCACTCCTGGCGGTGCTCAGGGGACCATATGGGATGCTGGGAGTTGAATCCGGGTCAGACACGTGCAAGGCAAATACCCTACTTGCTGTGCTATCACTCCAGCCCCTGGAACTTCTTGAAACAGTAGAAAAGGGCCTAAGCCTTCAAAAGAAATGTAGATTTGCTTGCTTATAGTTAAGGTCTTGCTGTTGGTCTTTTAGGATAACAGTTCTGTTTGGGGTGAGGGAGAAACACCATCAGCTAGGAACCTTAGATGATAGCTCAAGGAAACACCTTAGAGCAGGTACACTGCACAGTCCTGCCCCCAAATAGCTTCCCTGTGATGGTATCTACTCTGAAAGGTCAAAGTTTGCCAGGCTGGTTGCTACTGGTCGAGAGAAATTCAGGAATTCTCCTGATAGCAACTCCATAGACATGGAGAGTGGGGCTGAGAGAAGGACAAGGCGACCAGCTTTCAATGCCAGGATGTATCATAGCTGGCCTGGGTTATTTTTTGAAATATGGCTAGAAAATGAGTAGCAGGAAGTAATCAGCTATCCCAGGGCCCAAGCCAGTTTCACCTTAGACAGCTGGAGGGATAAAACTAAGTCACGTTTACTCTGCCAAAGCCAGCCAGCCTTCCACCTTTAGTTCTGCTTTCATCCTTACTGTTTCCCTTCATCAGGAACTTGGAGCACCCCTGTCGCCTGCCATATGGTGGCTCAACTTCACCTGATGTTTGAGCCCTTTTCAATTCAGGCCACGTACACACATATGTATCTGACTCTTATTTCCACTACCCCTACACCCCATTCCAAATCTTCTTGATGTACTCACCATATTGGCTTAGAGATTTTATTCATTGCATTGTCCCTAACTGGGATCTTCTCCCTCCCTTGGACCACCTTGCTCCAGCCCCTTCCAAATCTGAGTTAAGTCCTTTACCTCCCATCATTTTTTTCCCTAAAGCCCTCATGGCTTCCTAATTCTAAGCTTCTGAAGCCTTCATATCACTATGAATCTAAAGATTCACTCATATAGGGGCCAGAGAGTACAAGGGTTAAGGTACTTACCTTGAACTTGGTCAACCCAGATTTGGTCACCAGTGTTGTAGAGGATCTCCTGAGAACCACCTGCAGACATCCCTAAGTATACAGTCTATGGTGGCCACGATCCCCCAAATGAAAAGAAATTAACTCATTAATGTTAAGTACATTAATTTTGTCCTCTGTAAAACTAGTGGCACAAAATGAAGTTGATACTGGATACCCTTCTAAACCTTGATGCAGAGGGATGTTAAGTTCACAGGGAAGTCTTGCAGTCACTGAGTTTGAAAAGAAGATGGGCTAGAGACTCATTTGTCAGGAATACGGTGATGGTAGACACAACCTTAGGTCATGCATACAATTAAATGTAGTCTCTGCTGCTGCTTCTCCGTGAGCCTTGAGAGTTCTTTATAAAAAAGGATTTGAGGTCATTGAGCCATGGTGCTGGGAATCAAACTCAGGGCCTCACACATCCAAAGCCAAATCTCTGTTGCTGAGCTACACCTCCAACTAATTGAACCAATTTTCTTTAATGTTCTACATTTGGGGCTTCTATTTATAAAGAAGAAGGTTTGATATTACAAGATAGAAGCCAACAAAGGCATTGTTACTTATTTGAAATCATTTTATTTTGAATGAAAAAAAACATGAATATGTTTCTGAGAGAAGAAAAGGTGGTGGAGTTGGAGGGAGTTTAGAAGAGTGCGTGGTACATGCTTCTTGTTTGTGGAAAGGCATAAAATACTCTCTGTCCACTTCCTCTCTTCCTTTTATCAAGAAGCAGGCCACGCCTACTTAACATGATCCAACTCAGTTCATTCCTTTTTTGTGGGGGTGGTGAGGGGGGAGGTTGGACTGCATCTGGAAGTGCTTGTGGCTTATGCCTACCTAGCACTGTTCTCAGATGTGACTTATGGCAGTGCGTGGGGGACCCTGTGTGATACCAGAGATTTTTACCAGGGTTAACATCATGCATAGCAAGTGTCTTACCCCCTATACTTTCTCCTTATACTACCTCAATTCATTCTTTGGAGGAGGGGGCACACCCAGCAATGCTCAGTCTATTCCTGGCTCTCTGCTCAGGGATCTCTCCTGGTGGCACTTGGGGGACCATACAGGGATCTGAGCAATGAACCCAGGAGGAACGTGTACAAGATAAGCACTCTACTCACTGTTCTGTCACTGCACTCTACACACTCAGTCTCTCAATGCATTAGTACCTTAAAGACATGGCCAAGCCTTTGATATCAACTTGATAGATTGGTAATTTTGTGTCTGTCCAAGTCTCACCATCATCCTTTTCTTCTCCCCATTTAGGTAACCCCCACTAATGAGTGTACCCAGGCCCTGTTGAAGATGCTCTACTGCTCCCATTGCCAAGGTTTCGTGACTGTGAAGCCATGTTACAACTACTGCTCAAACATCATGAGAGGCTGTTTGGCCAACCAAGGAGACCTTGATTATGAGTGGAACAATTTCATAGGTGAGTGAGTCTCCTGGCAGCTAGCTCCCTCTCTGGCCCTGGGGAAAGCTTGTCACTGTTATCCGTGAAATGTTGGTTGGTTGGTTGGTTGGTTGGTTGGTTGGTTGGTTGGTTAGTTGGTAAGTGTGTGCTTGAGTCTTCCCTGGACTCAAAGCTCCTCCTTTCCTCCCAGCCAATGTGCTCTTGTACTCAGCGTGGTGGCATCTCTGGAAGCATTAGCAACAATGAATATATAGCAACTTGCATGACAAGAAAGTGACTTTTGGAGGTCTCCCCCCTTTCTGCACCCTGGAAAGACTGGAGTGCAGAGCCTGAATAGATAGTACAGGAGATAAGGTACTTGCCTTGCATGTGGCTTAGGTAGAATCTCTAACTCAGCATAGAGTCCCCTGAGCGCATCTGTGTGTTGCCAACCCCCTTCAAGTGTATGAAGATTGTTACCTAAGTTTCTTCATTTTTCTGTAGCCAGGAAGAAAATGCAGAGAGACTTGTTCTTTGCATTCTTCCAACATTCTAGCACCTTTGGTGGGAACTTGGAGTTTCAGTGATTCATATCCTTGAGTTAAAAATTTGTGTCTTTTTCTAAGAGTTTGCAAGTCCATATCAAATCACAACCATACTCTGGTTTGCTTAAGTAATGCTTGAAACCAGGTACTGCTAAAATCAAGACTTATTTTTAGATGTTTTTATATAAAAGACACATGTTGGTATTGTTCTTGTTATGAGTTAAATTTTTTGGTTGCCCTTCAAGAACAAAATCAAACCCAAGTGAAAATGGAATCCCTGGCTCAATTTTCTTGTCAATGGTGGGGGGGAGGGGAGGGATGGTCATTGGCCACACTCAGCAGTGCTCAGGGCTTACTCCTGAGTCTGAGCTCAGTGATCTCTTCTGGTGGGCTCAGAAGACCTTATCTGGTACCAGAGATAGGACCTGTCAGCCACATGCAAGGCAAGTGCCTTAGTCACTGTACCATCTGGCCCCTTTCCTGTCATTTTAAGTGATATTTTTTTCTGGGGGTGGGGGGGAGTATCTAATTGTAGTTAAACTTCATTTTTGATGGACATTATATTCTTTTTATCCAGTAAGTCGGTATGAAAGGAAGCACTAATAGACAGTGTTAATCTCCTGTGCCTTTTCATGAATTCTCACACGGGGTTCATTAATTTTCTCCGTTGTTGTAAAATTCAGTCCCAGTCTACGTGCCTCTGGTATAAGTTCTCTCTCTCTCTCTCTTTTTTCTTCGTAATACATTTCTCTTTCCCCTCTAAGTGAATATCATTAATGAATGGTCAAGCCACCACTCACTCTCTCCTCTCCGCCTCCCACCCCCCACCCCCGACACATTCCTTAAATCAGATCATGGGGTTGTCTGGGAATCACATTTTTTCTTCCAGCCAGGTCATACAACTGAAGATGCGGGGTTGTGATTAGCTTCACAGTGTAAAAGGAGTTGCTTTCCCCAGTGAGGCAGGTGCTTTGTTACATTGCTATGTAGGCGAGGGGAGACCCTCAGTAACAGGATCCTGGTCACTGAAATCACGCTGTTGCATTAGTTTAAAAGGACAAATGATGAGGACTGGGAAACAGCACAGACACTAAGTTTCTTACATTGCAAGTGGCTGACCCGGGTTCCATCACTGGCATAGCATATTGTTCTTTGAGCAGTGCCAGGAGTGATCCCTGAGCAGAGCAAGGAGTAAGCCCTGAGCACTACTGGATGTGGCCCCCAAACATCAACAGATAAAAGGGCTGAAGGATGGGTTTCCCCAATCTTCTGCTGATTTGCTCTCCTTTCTTGAACTGCATCTATTACAGATGCATCTATTAAAGGATCTGAGTAGTTTAAATATCTTGATCTCAATTTTTTAAAAGGTTCAGAGAGATAATACAGTCAGTCAAGCACTTGCTTTGTATGCAGCTGACCTGAGTTTTATCCCTGGCATCGCATATGGTCCCCCAAGCATTGTCAGGAGAGATCCCTGAGTACAGATCCGGGAATAAGCCCTGAGCCTTGCCAGGTGTGCCCCCCAAAACAAAATGATATCAAATAATAATAAAAAAGGAAGTTGGTTCTATGAAACCTTCCACTTGAAAAAGAAAACCAGATCTCTCTTCTCTCTTTTGATGCCTGCACACATTTTCTCCCAGTTTGTACAGAGCCATTTGGTAGATGCAGGGACAACTCATTCTCCATCACCTGGTGTCGCTATATTAGCATCCATTGGACTCACTGCCCACCTCTTCACATCTGTGTACCTGCTGCCAGTCAGCACTCTCAGATTGGGGGTTTAGGCTAACTATTGAAGACAGCACACCAATTGCTGGCAAGGGGCAGGAGACACATAGGACAGCTGGGGCCTAGATGAAGCAGAGGAAAACCCCAAAGGCCAGACTGCTTGTCTTGGAGGTTCTCGGTGGGGCTTTTCATCTGGGCTTGCTGCTGCTCCAGAAGAGCCCCATTGATGGCAGCTTCCCCCAAAGGCTGTGTGGCAGCTTTGGTCCTGCGCTGCAAACTGAAGGCAGCCCGCTACCTCATTCACATTCTTCAGCCGCACAACGTGCAACGCCATGGCACCGGCCCCAACAAAGGCCCGGCTCCCCTCTCCATTCCCAGGCTCTTGTGTATGGCCGACTGGCTCGGAGTTGACAAAGACGCCAAACAGCCAGAAGAATTGGGGTTTATGTTGCCTTTCAGTCTTTCATAAACACATTGGTGCCCTGGCTTTTCCTCACCACTAGGGGAGTAAGTAGTTCTCCAATGTGCTATTCCGCCCCCCCCCCCCCCACCACACACACACACAGACCCCGCCCTCACCCTCTTGGTTCCAACTCTGCCTTTGGGATGTTTATTATCTGCCTATTCATAATATTTTTAGTTGGAGCCAGTGCCGACTTCGCGGCTCCAGAGGAATGCACTTTCTCGAAGTGGCCGCCCTGACGTCTTTTGACAATGATGAACACGTTTCAGTTGTGCTCCACTTGTTTACAAAAGTCTCCTTTTGCTCGCACATCAAAAGCATTTTTTCCCTCCTCCAGTACAATGGTATACTCATGCTGGCAACCTCTCCTCAGAGGTTGGAAGCGTCACTTTATTGGCGCTGACCCCAATGCAATCTGAAACTTCATTTGTTATTGCTTGGGTGGGGGGAGGGAATGGCATTTCACGGAAATCTATTTGTGGTTGGTGACATCGGAATTGGAGTTGAGAGAAATGACCCCTCTGCTTGAAAAAGTGGGGTGGCATTTGTTGGAGGTTGAAGGTGAAAGGTTGAGGACCAAATTTGGTTTCATTGATATGCTGATGCTTAACCAGCATCCCCGCTAGGAAAGGTTAGGTAGAAGTTGCGCTGTTCTCAAAGATAGAGCTCTGTCTATCTTTGAGAATGGCCTGCCTTGAGACAGAAACTGGACTCGGCTGGGAAGTAGCTGTTGTGATGGTCCTTGGCCTGGGATTGCTCGAAGGCTCTAGATAATATGGTCCAACTGATCTTTTTCTACCTTGCTGTAATCATTAGAGTGTAAAGGAGCAAAGTACCAAGTTGGCTAGTTGTCATTTGGTTTAGAAATGGCATATCTGATGCCTTCCCATTTTGCACAGTTGAAGCCTCAGGCAAAAATACTAAATGCATCATCACAGCAAACAAGAATGGCAGGAAAATTAGGCCCAACCTAGTTTAAGAGATTTGTTAAACTATTTCAGACTCTTGGTGGCCAGTAGAGAAATTGGCTAATAACCTTTCCAAAGTGCCTCTCTTTTTTTTTCATTTCTGTTTTTTTCCCGGCTACACCTGGCAGTGTTCAGGGCTTACCAGCTCTGCTCAGGGATCACTCCTGGTGGTGGTCCCAGGGATGGAATCCTGGGTCTGCCTTGTGCAAGGCAAGTACTTTACCTGGTGTCCTATTTCTCTGGCCCCCGTATCTTTTTTTGTGCTGTGTGTTGTGTTGTCTTTCACACGATAAAGAGGAGGTACATGTTCTCCTTTGCAAATAAATCAAAACCTGTGGGTGGATTGGTACCAGGAAGTTTGTCTTCCTGCAAAAGTGGCATTTTCTCCCTAGAATCCCATTCTTTGCAGAGGCATTAGCATTCCCAGGAGGGCTTTCATTTATATTTTCCAACTGTGCACCCCCCACATCTGAAAGGGTTTCATTAAAAAATGAAAGAAAAGCATTGCCTGGCTAGGATTTTAACTGATTTATGTCTCTGACTCTTGTAAATGGAACCTGAAATGAAAAGATCTTCCAAAGTCCCCCCGAAGAACTGGCGTGTTATTGTGCCTTGGGCCTGACAGTTTGTCAGCTGGGAGCTAGCACAGAGCCTTCTGCTGACAGCCACTCATGTCCAAGGGGATGAATAATCAGTGGATGGAAGATGCCGGATTGGATATCCTTGCTAGCAAGTAAAAGAAAACCTTTATCTGGCCAGTTTACACTTTAGAGAGATAGCAGTGCACGCTGACTAAGTGCAGTTGGGTGGCATAGAAATAGAGACAGAAACAGGAATTAATTAGGACGTGTGCCCAGCCTCCCTAAGGAACAAAGCCAGGGAAATAATCGGATTGATTGCCCAGGCCCCAACTGATGATTTCCATTCTGATGCTGAATCTTTCTCCCCACTCCTTGCTCTGTCAGACGCAATGCTCATGGTGGCGGAGAGACTCGAGGGGCCTTTCAATATCGAATCGGTCATGGATCCCATCGATGTGAAGATTTCAGATGCTATTATGAACATGCAGGAGAATAGTGTGCAGGTGTCTCAGAAGGTAATGGAGAAGGACAGGTGTCCGGGAAGGAGTGTGCTGTGTTCCCTGCAGCCCATAGTGTCCCTCTGCTAACACCATGGCCCTCCCCTCCCATTGCAGGTTTTCCAGGGCTGTGGACCCCCCAAGCCTGTCCCAGCTGGCCGGATTTCCCGTTCCGCCTCTGAAGGAGCTGCCTACAGTACATTTAGTGCCTTTAGTGCTCGTTTCCGACCATACCACCCCGAGGAACGCCCAACCACAGCAGCTGGCACGAGCTTGGACCGACTGGTAAGCAAGTTGGCAGGCTGGACCTTGCTTCATGACAAAGTAACGAAAACATTGTACTCAGTGGGCCTTTCTCCTTGGAAGGCTGACTAGTGTGGGCCTTCAAGGTGCAACTTTGCAAGAAAACTGCCTGTGGATGCCAGGAATTGGATGGCCTTTGACTGAGAAAGTTCCTCACATGTGCGTCTAGAAGATACGCTAGCCAAAATAAAAACCATCTTATCTTTGGGGCTTGGGAGATAACCCTAGGGTCAGGGGCACAGGCTTTGCACCTTTAGGACCCTGGTTTGATATTTTTGTTTTGTTTGGTGGCCACAACTGGTGTTGCTCAGGGGTTACTCTCCTGGACCTGCGCTCTGGAATTACTCCTGGAGGTGCTCAGGTGACTATATGAAAGGCCGAGCATCAAACCTGGGTCAGCCACCTGAAAGGCAAGTGTCCTACTCACTGGACTATCTCTCCAGCCCCTGGTTCGGTTCTTGGCTATGAGCACTTTCAGATATGGCCCTGGGGCTTCATGGCACATTAGGCCTCAAGCAGCTTTGCATCCTCTAGCCCTTGCCATGAGCCACATGGCCCAGTATTGCAGGGAACAACACTCCACACCCCCCATTCATTGCCTACAAAGAAAAAAGGGGACCCTTATGGCAAAACCTCCCTTTTGTTTCATCGCAGATAACATCTGCAAAGCCATCACTGCAGTAGTTCCAAAGAGGCTCAGAAATAAGACACAACAAAGAGGGTGATGCAGCCTTCCAGGCTTACTAATAGAAGTCACGGCCAGTGACCAGCTAGCAAATGGGAATTTGGGGAAAAAATATAAGCAAGCCATTTAGGCGCAGTCCTGCGCAGCCTATGCAGGGAAAGAGCTGAGGAGGCAGCCAGAGGTAGAAAGGTGTGGGAGAGGAGGGAGAGCAGGTGGGTAAGTTTTAAAGAATGATTCCTACAGAAAAGCTGGAGGCCGAGTATCAAAGACTTTCAGGAAGAGTCTTGACTCTCTGTGGGGCATGGAACGCGTGGGCCTCTGAGGACAGTGCAGATGCAGAGTGCGAGTGGGCAAAGGGCCTTGGCAGCCTTCTGCAGAATTTACCTTTCAGCGATGGAAATCACTCACGTGGTTCTGTGCTTTGGAGTGCACATTTGATCCTTTTGCAGGTGACTCCAATGGCAAATGAATTGCACATCCCTCTGCGGTAGTCCTGCCTGGAAAGGGGGGGGTGTGGTCTTGAAGGTACTTTCCTGTTGTTTTAGAGGCTGCTTTCCTACCTCTTCATTAGGTAACGGATGTCAAGGAGAAACTGAAGCAGGCCAAGAAGTTCTGGTCATCTCTTCCTAGCAACATGTGCAATGATGAGCGGATGGCTGCGGGAAATGGCAACGAGGATGATTGCTGGAATGGCAAAGGCAGAAGCAGGTCAGCCCCTGGGGAAGGGAGGAGCGGTCTCCCTCCCTTAGACACCTGGGAAACTTGTAGGAGGGGTTCTTGGTGGTCTATGGAGGTACCGGAAGCAGTTCACAGTAGGCAGGAGCAGTAACATGGAAGTCTTTTAGTCACTCGTCAGAATGGATGTTGCCCTAAAAGTATTAGAAAGGTACTTAGCGACTTGCAGAGTACTGGGGCCAAAGTTTGGGACAGCATTTCCATTTTGGCATGGTACCTTCTATGGGAAGTCACTCATTCAAGTAGTATCATTGGTTGAAAACTTTTTCCATCCCTGTAATCTTTGGTCTGGTGGTTGGTTTGCTTTCAGCCCCAGTTCTGCCAAGGTGTCCCAGTTCTCCCAGTGCCATCCCTTTCTCACTCGGAGCCACCCCATGCCCTTCTCCTACTAACTCCATCCCCTTGATGATGCCATGCTCCATGTACTTTGCTCCCACTTACCAACTGTGCAAAAGGGGCCACTTTCCAAACAGTCAGAGTCACATTAAAGAAACAAGATGAAATCCAAGCAACGAGAAATTCAAGTACATTAGAATTGGAAGCATGGGGGCTGGAGCGATGGCACAGTGAGTAAGGTTGCTTGCTTTGCATGCCCAGGTTCTGTCACCTGCACTACATAGAGTCCTCTGAACCCCAGCAGGAGTGATCTCTTCCACTGCTTGAATGTGGCCCAAAAACCAAACAAAGAACAAAAGATCTGGAAGCAGGCATGGCTCTTTCATTTTGCTACCTGGAAATACTAGACACTGGGCCAAAATCTTGGATATCTTTTGTTGTAGAGATTGTATGCAAACTGCCCATTTGTTGTTTCAGGTACCTGTTTGCAGTGACCAGCAATGGATTAGCCAACCAGGGCAATAATCCAGAGGTTCGTGTGGACACCAGCAAGCCTGATGTCCTGATCCTGCGCCAAATCATGGCTCTGCGGGTGATGACCAGTAAGATGAAGAATGCTTACAACGGGAACGACGTGGACTTCTTTGATATCAGTAAGCCTTTTGTGGTTAGCGAGCACAAATGGTTTTCGTGTGGGTTGCACAGAGAACAAAGCAAATGAAATCTCCTCCTCCCCCTCTTTTTCAACTAGGTGATGAAAGCAGTGGAGAAGGAAGCGGAAGTGGATGTGAGTATCAGCAGTGCCCTTCGGAGTTGGAGTACAACGCGACTGACCACTCCGGGAAAAGTGCCAGCGACAAAGCCAACGGTGCGGGTCCCCGTGCTGGGGCCCAGCCCTACCTGCTCACTGGGTTGTGCATCTTGCTCCTGCTTATGCAAAGAGAGTGGAGATAATTCTCCCCATTAGAGCAAGAGTGTTCATCATCCAAAAGTTACAAAGGCACCGGTTATCGTTTTTATACCATCGTAGTGACTTTGCTTTTTCAATGAATGGACAACGATGTACAGTTTTTACTATGTGGCCACTGGTTTTAAAAATTGCTGACTTGATTTTTTTTTGCATTCAGTTTTGGGGGACGGGGAGAGGACTTGGATGTAAAATCAGTTCTCCCCCCATGGTCCCCCGAATCCTGTTCAACGTGGCTAACAATGTAGGTACAGAACTGTAGTTAGTTGTGCATTTGTGATTTTATCATTCTATTGTTTGTTGTATTTTCTTGTTGTTTGTGGGGATTTTTTTCTGCAGTTATGATCTCACCTTGTTTCTCCCAAGAAAACCAGGGTCCTTTCTTGGCATGTAACATGTACGTATTGCTGAAATATTAAATAGCTGTACAGAAGCAGGTTTTATTTATCATGTTATCTTATTAAAAGAAAAAGCCCAACAAGCAAGTAACATTTCCATGTATCCCTGTTTGAGTTGCCTTACCTAAAGAAAAGCTGAGGTGATTGGGGTTTTTATTTGTAAGCTAGGACAGAATGTGAAGAAACAAGGAGGCTTCCAGGCCACTTGTCAGGTTATATTCAAGCATCAACACAGAAAGGTCATAGCTACTCTCTGGAAGAGACTACAGATACCCCATTTTGGTTGACTGGGACTGCCGAAACCAAGATCATGTATTGGTCCATCTCTGAACCCACTAAAACTTAACCCATTTCAAAGAACTGTCTTGATCCATTCTCCCTAGGAAGGTATGTAAGGCATTCATAATGTCATTTTTATCACATGTTCACATTTAGTTTGGGAGTGGATTTTTTGGATTGGTTTGGTTTTTTTGAGGTGTGTGTGTGTTGGGGGGGGGGTGATTTTGTTTTGAATCCAGGCACATTAGCAAGCCACTGTGTGCCGATCTTTGTGTCCACACAACCATTATTTGAATTGTTATCCCCGTGGCACAAAGATGCCATTCACAAACTCCTATGGCTCTCTCTTTACAACGTTCCACATTTCAAACCCTGCTATAGCATAAGGGCTAGCCAGAATTGGGGTCCCAAGCCTGGGCTCAGGGAGGAGCTGCCTATCCTCAAGTCTAGTTTTGTTGTCAGGGCGTGTGTATTTTATTTGGTTTTGGGATCCCAGGTTTTCCCAAGAGATTATATATAAGGGTGTCTTTTTTTTTTGGTCCTTTTTCCCCCAGACCCCTAGGATCAAAATAGCAAAGGATTTGTAGTACTTCTTATTGGGGTCCCGCCCCATGACTCAAGCCTATTTGAAGAATAGGGTGCCCCCCCTTATCATCTGTTGTTTTCTTTGGGGTGGTAGGAGTAGGTAAAGTGGAGAAGATTGTATCTTAGGGGTGAGTCAGAACGACACAAAGACCAGTATCTGTTGTCCCAGGCCAAAGAAAAAAAAAAGACCTCAGACCTTTTGGAAGTTTATCCGCATCTCTCTACCACATGACAGCTCACAAACCTATGGGAATGGAAGGAATCGGTTTCAAAGGCATTCCCCCAAAGTTTTCAGAAATTCAAAGAAAAAAATCTGCAAGTCTCTTCCGGCTTTAGATTGCTGTTAAGATCCCAAGTGGTTCTCCAGCAGCTAAGACCCATAGAGAAGTCCTTTGTGTTCCTGTTCAATCTTCAGTTGTAAGAATAATTCTCTATTTTTATATTGAAACATGATTACTTGATAGCTCAGGGTCTACATTTCATTCACCTTTTTACACCAAATTCTTCAGATGGTCAACATGGAGTTATCGGGGGGCGGGGGGACTGTTGTGAACAGAGGCTTAATTTTATTAGAAGTAGCCAGTTATTTATTAAAGCATGATGTTAATAAAATAGGCATATTCTGGCTGGTGTGTATAAGTGTGTTTCTTTTGACAAATCACAGAAGACATAAAATTGCCAAGATGCTCCATTTACATATGAGGCAAAAAATGGGTTGTAAGTAGCTAAGCTGCCCTGTGAGAACTTGGAAACTGTGCTGATACTTAGTAACTACCTCAGTTGCAAGGAATTTCCTTTCTAGCTTAGACTGCTATCCTTTTACTTGGTAGAAATGAATCTGGTCTCCAAAATGTGGCTCAGAGAGTTATCCCCATAGACCTTGTTTGATTGTTTTTAATTTAAAACCTTGAACTCTGCCCAGCTGTTTTCTTTCAGTCAAGTTCCCTAAACCAATAACATTTTCCGAATTAAATATTCTTGAAGGTTCTTTTGGGCTCTTGCTGATTTGTTTTCTTTCTTTGCATTTTTTCCTATTACCCTTTTATTATTCAAATTGTCTCTTGCTTTTGAATTTGAACTATGAAATAAACAAATCATAGATTTTTCCATTCAGGTCTGACTGGGTAACTCTTGGCTTTTTACCAGCTGGCAGGTTCACCCTTTTTTTTTCTCTGCCCCCCACTATAAAAAGAATAAAGACAAGTTGAATATTTTAAAGCCTTCAGAGTTCAGGGTATGAGATAGAATAAAAGCTTAGTAGGGTGACCTGACTTTTTCAATGTTTCAGTTAATAGCATGTGAAGGGTTTATATTTTATAAAGTCATTTATAAATTATTTTCCTTTCAAACACTTCATCCAGTCTGTATCTTAAGAAATCTTTTTGACTATTTAATTTGTTTCAAAAACTGTCAGCAATTAGCACCTATTTATTTTGATAAAAAAAAGGACAAGTACAAAAAACTGGCATGCATTTTTTAAAACTTCTGTTCCTTAGAGTTAGAAAACCCAGAATTTAGCAGAGAGTAAGATTTGTCATTTGTGATTACAGAAACAAAAACTAGGTTTATAAATGGAACTATATAAAATTCAACTTTCCCCCTTTATTTCAGGAACCCTGTGCTTTTCTCAAACTTAAAGCAAACACCAAAGTACCAAATACAACTTTCTTTCAGCCAGCAGTGCTTAGGGGCTCTTCCAGGCTCTGCGCTCAGGAGTGAACCCTGGCAGAGCCGAGGGAACCATATGTGATACCAGAGATTTGAACCAGGGTCGACCGCACCCAAAGCAAAAGCCTTAACCCCTGTACTATTTCTCTGGCCTGCTGTCTCATGTATTGATTGATTGAATCACCATGAGACAGACCATTACAAAGCTATCCTTGATTGAGTTACAGTCATTCAGTGTCTCAACACCCATCCCTCCACCAGTGTACGTTTCCTAGCACCAATGTCCTCAGTTCTCTACACCACCCTCCAGGTCCCCACTTTTCTTCTTCCCTCCCTTCTCTCTCTCTCTCTCTCTCTCTCTCTCTCTCTCTCTCTCTCTCTCTCTCTCCATTTAGGCGCTGTGGTTTGCAATACAGTTACTGAAATGTTATCATGTATATCTTTATTTTCAACACACAGTTCTTGTCCAGCATGATCATTTCCAACTGTTATTGTCATTGTCTCATTATCATACTGGTTCCTTCTCTATATTACATACCCTCTGCCCACACCCGCCACACACACAAATTTGTGGTAGATTCCAACCATTGACCAGTCCTCCTGGCCCCTGTTTTCCTTGACCTTGGATACTAGTCTCATATTATTCTTTTTTATATACCACAAATTAATGCAGTTACTACTTGAAATATACCCTCGTGTCCCCCAGACACACAACGGAAGCACCATCTGCACTTCTATGTTCATTGTAGCACTATTCACAATAGCCAGAATCTGGAAACAACCTGAGTGTGCCCGAGAACAGACAACTAGATAAAGAAACTATGGTATATCTACAGAATGGAATACTACACAGCTGTTAGGAAAAATGAAGTCATGAAATTTACTGTGTGTTTTTGAACTGAGAAAAACTCTCAAAGTTCTTTCAGCTTGAACTAGAAAGAAAATGTAGTGGCATTCTATAATATACTTTACAAAGGAAGTGTTGGTTTCTAAACTATTCTAAAAAATCTTTATATAAAAATATCTGAAAGATAACTTGGTAACATAGGGATTTAAATGCATTCATAAGGCAGTTAGTTGCCACATAATTATTACGCCCACTTTTAATTGCACAATATGTTGACTGGATTTAAAATGAAAAGGGATCTGGAGCAATAGTACTGTGCCTCACATGCAGAAAAGACCCAGATTCAATCCCTTAATGTTACACTCTCTCAACTCTGACCAGGAGTGATCTCTGAGCAAAGATCCAGGCAGGAGTAAGCCCTGAGCACCACCAGGTATGACCCAAAACCCAAATAAATCAATAAAAATGAGAACAAAGTTATAAAGGAAACATTTCCTTCTCATCTTGAGTTTCTTTGCCCAGATCCCCCCACACCTTACAACCCCCCACATTTGTAAATAAGTCAATGAGATAAACATTTCATTGTTTATTTGTATCCTTCCAAATTATCTTTGTACTTATCAAGTAGATATGATTAGGGAATTTTATCTTTCCCCATTTTGACTTGATAGCATCTCCTGCCCTGATTTAACATAATTTATGACTAATTTTACAAGTTTTGAAAGAGTCCCCAAAGACAGAGATTCCTATGAGCTTTGGGTGTTAGTTTGGGGGCCATACTCTGTGCTCAAAGCTTATGCCTGGCTCTCTATTCAGGGATCACTCCTGATGGTTCTCCGAGTACCCTATGCAGTTCTGGGGATCATACCAGTCTCAGCTATGTGAACAAAAAACACCTCAACCCCCCCCCCCCCCCGCATCCCAGGACATTGATTCCTATTCTAATGACAAGACTTCTTGGAGACGTGCAACATTTCGGGGGAGGGAAGGGCTGAATTATGACCCAGGTTTATCTAAGTAACTTTTTACAAAATCTTCACTTGAATGGGGAAGAAGTTTGGCATCACAGGGCTTTTATCCTGAATATAGAATCAAGATGCCCTTTGTTCAGAATTCCCTTCCTTTCTTCCTCCCTCCCACTCCTGGCAGTGCTCAGAGACTATTCCTGGGTCTGTTCAGCGGTGAACCCTAGCAGTGGTCAGAGGACCAAGTGGGGCGATGGGGATCATCAGACCAGAGCCTGCTGCTTGTAAGCAAGTACCTTACGCCCTGTACTCTGTCTTCTGTCTTCTCCTCCTATCTTACCCCAGGTAAGGTTTCTTCTGGGTAGTTAACAAACAAGAATGATGAAATCACATATCATCATCCTTGAACTCCCTGAATAAAAACATACACTGCTTAGGAATGGTTCAAAGGAGCTGCCATGGCCTGGACTTAACTCCTATTCTGTTTCCAAAATTCTCAGTACCTCCATAGGCCCAAATGACTTGAAGTAACATCTGTACTACATAATGGAGAGGAGAAGAGCAAGATGCATAGTGAGAGCTTTGTTCCTGTGTGAATGATCTATTCAATGAGCCAGGAATCTTTAAACTATGGGGTTTTGTTTTTATTTTGTGTGAGGGCCACATCTGGTAGTATTCAGGCTTACTCCTGGCTCTGTAATGGGGGATTACTCCTGGTGGTGTTCAGCTTCCATACGCTTAGTGCCTTAACCCTGTACTCTCTCTGACTCCAGAATCTTTAGAATATGGAAATTTGGGTTGCAGTAAGAGTCCAGCACATAGAGTGCTTGCCTCACACATAGCTGACCTGGTTTTGATCCTGGCATCCCATATGATCCACCGAGCACCACCAGGAGTAATTCCTGAGTTCAGAGTCAGGAGTCACATCTGAGCATTGCCAAGTGTGTGGCCCAAAAACCTGAAAGAAAAAGAATATGGAAACCAGAGGTCAACTTCTGTTTTCATGTAATGTTGAATTTGTACTCATCAATGCTGGTCGAGACCTCAACATTCAGAGTTAGTAAAGTTGATGGAAATCCCTGCCTCTACATGAGTGTTCATGTGCACAATAAAATGTGCGTTATTTAGGTGAGGGTGGGGTGTTTGGGGAGGGAGTTGAAGTCAGACGAATCCAAGACCTTACATGCAAGACAAGAGCTCTACCACTTTGGCCATATCCACAGTCTGTACTTTTGGTGTTTTTTCTAAATATGTTATAAAATCAGAAGAAAAACAGTACTGTGGAGAAGAAAAAAGCTCTTTTCATCCATCCTACCAGGTTACAGCTGATAAAAGATATTAGGCATAAATCAAAAATAAAGGCAAAGGGGCCCGAGTGTTGGTACAGTGAGTAGGTCAATTGCCTTGCATGCAGCCATCCTGGGTTCGAATCCTGGCATCCCTAAGGTCCCCTGAGCACTACCAGGAGTACTTCCTGAGTGCAGAGCCAGAAATAACCCCTGAGCACTGCCTGGTTTGGCCGCAGCCCCCCCTCCCCAACCAAAAATACAAAGTTCAGACCCCAGATGCTATCTAAAAGGTTTGAGGGTCTTGTTCTCCGATCCTTGGTGGCAGAGGTGAGGGAGTTTTGCAACGGTTCCCTCACTATCCTATTACTGTGATTATTACATGACAAGGTCAGAGTATTCTGTCCATAAATGCACATGCACCATATTCCTCCACACAGATTTTGTGTATTTTGGTTTCAGGGGTCATACCCGGTAGTGCTCAAGCTTATTCCTGACTCTGCACTCAGAAATCACTCCTGGCGTGGCTCTGGGGACCACATGGGGGTGCCAGGGATCAAACTCAGGTTGGCTATGTTCAAGGCAAGCATTTTACCCACTGCACTATCCCTAGCCCACAGATTTTGTGTATCATCGAATATCTACTCTCAGGACCAACAGACTCATCACTTAAGGGGTTACATTTGTCCCGCTGTCAGTGGTGAGCACTTGGGGAATACAGAATAATTTAAAAGTCTGATGGTAGGGCGTTTGCCCTGAACGCGGCAGACCCGGCTGACTCAAGTTCGATTCCTCCACCTTTGATCCCTCCACCCCTCTCGGAGAGCCTAGCAAGCTACCGAGAGAATCTCACCTGCAT